ATTTTTTTTTTTTCTTTAATAGAAGGGTATGCAAACTTTCAAGTATAACTGTATGTTGTGTCCATCCTCCACTTATTCTCTCCCTGTTTCCTACTTTCCTCCAGATCTTCCTTCCTGTTCTTCCTTTATATTCAGTTTCTGTCTTTTTTCTTTATCACTGCTTCCATTGTTTCCCTTTTTGTGTCTTTTCTTCCTTCTCTTGATGTCCCTCCATCTTGCTCTCCTCATGTCCATCATTGTTTCCTTTTCCTTCCTAGACTTTTTTTCCTACCTTCCCCCTTCGTTTTTTGTACCTCCTTTCTTCTTTTCTTTCTTTCTTAACTCCTTCACCTGTATATTTTCTCCTTTTTATCCCTCATTGCCAGTGGCTTACATTCCTTGCCTCCTTTTTTTTTTAGGATTTTATCTTTCCTTCTGTGTTTTTTCATTCTTTTTTGTTTCTTCTAGACTTTGAACCTAATAGGTAGTTGATTGATAATGTCTGTCAATGTCAATCTGTTCAGTTATTTAAATTTTTTAAATTTTGTTTTTTTCAGGCGGTGGTTTTCCATCCAAAATAGCCAGCTGGTCTACCAAAAGAAAGTGAAGGTAAATCTAGTTGCTCTATTTGGCTATGTTTCATGTTTACTTGTTTTCTTTTTATCTTGTGCAACAGACAGCTGCTATTGTTTCCATTAAATGATTCATATTAATCATTATGCAAAGGAAAATTCCTGCATTGACTTGTCTTTCCTGGCGCTCACGTCAAGTGGAACCTGTCTCTAGATTCTGTGACACTCCTTTTCTCCGCCGACAGGATTCCCTGACGGTGGTGGTTGAAGATCTGAGGCTGTGCTCAGTCAAACCATGCGAGGATAATGAGAGGAGGTTCTGCTTTGAGGTGGTTTCCCCCACAAAGTAAGCGTGTCAATGTGTAAAAACCAAAAGCAATTAATATGGATGTTTATCGGTATTAACAGCGAAAAAGATTCGTTTTCAAAGCGCTGACCGTTTGAGTCCAGTTTAGTGAGATAAAAACCTCACGGTTTATTTCTGAATATTTAAGCTGAATAGCTAATGCACAAAAATCATCTTAGATATTCAGCTAAACTTTGATGGATGATCTCTAAATTTGGATCTCTATATATTTTTTTTTTCTTTTTTTCTTCAGATTATTCCAAACAGAAACTTAGGAAAGTTTTCCTTCTTAAAAAATATATATTCTAGTATATTTGTGAAGATTAAAATAAGATTGTTCCTTATTTTTATCAATTTTCCATATGAAAACTAACAAATTTCAGTTGTAATCAATAAGATGTTACCTGCAAATAGGAACCATTATATTTTAGATTTTAGAACTATATTCCAAAAAGAAATGTGATTGTTATTTGTTTTCTTAGGCTGGTACTACATATAGCCTGGTGCTATATATTAACAAACTTAAAAAGAGGTATATCATATTATTCTGTTTGTGTAGGAGCTGCATGCTCCAAGCAGAGTCAGAAAAGCTGCGGCAGGCCTGGATCCAGGCGGTCCAGGCAAGCATCGCCTCCGCTTACAAAGACATTGGCGACAACTATTACATTGAGGTATAAAACGAAATCAAAGAAAAAGATTTCTGTTTATTCCCTAATCTGTTATGTGTTGTAGCTGCATCTCAATCTCTGCTTTATCCCTCAGCGTTTGGACCGGACAGCTTCGCCTTCCACCAGTAGCATCGACTCTGCCAGTGAGCCCAGGGACAGAGGGGAGAGGGCGGAGAAGGCGTGTCGGGGAGGGGGAGAGAGTCTGCTGCAGCGGGTGCAGAGCTTGCCGGGAAACGAGCTGTGCAGCGACTGTGGCCAGACGGCCCCATGCTGGGCCTCCATCAACCTAGGAGTGCTGCTCTGCATCGAGTGCTCGGGCATCCACAGGTGTTTGCATCCAGACATCTACCTCTACATATCGTCATGATCTAAACCAGCTTTTCTAGTTTGTTTGTTGTGGGTTCAAAACTATTCCAGGAAGTAAACCAGCTCTAAACAGTTTGAAAAGTGTTATCAGATAAAAAGAAACTGGCTCTGCAGAGAACTGTCTAGTATTTTTCCCCCTTATATGGAGTCATTGTTTTTCCATTATTGTTGCAATCCAGGAGTGAAACTTTAAAAAGAAAAAGACATCTTAATCCAAAAAAGCTTAATCGAACTTTGCTGTTGTCTCAGATTGTATTTTTTTTAATGTTTGCTGCAGATTTTATTTTTTACAATTTCTCTTTTTCAGATTGAGTTTTACATATCAACTTCTTTTCACTTTACATGTAGGCTTTCCTTTCGAGTAAGCAGCTAAACACACTTTTGTTTTTGGTCTAGTTGACTATTTGACAGTTAACTTTCCAAATCAAGCTCATACGTTGTTTTATAATGATGGTACGGAGTGTAGCCAAAAATTACTTATAATACGTCTTGTTGCAGAGACGTTCTTGGTTACATCAGGTAGGTCTAAACCAGCTTGTATTACTAACTGCAGTATGTGCTCTGCTAAGCCCATAAAATAAGCTAATAGGAGACCTGATTTGCATATCACCATGCAAGCCCACACTAGTAGAGAAGATGACTTTTTGGTGAATGCCCTAGTCTGCACAGACATGAAAAAAATAACATTTTTAATGGTCCAGAGAGAGTGTTTATATTGGCCCTGAAATAAAGCGATTGTGATCTGAAAAACGCAATGTAAAAAAGAATGTAGTTGTTATAAATCTGGGGGAAAAAAAAGACTATTTTAGAAAAAAAAAGGAATTCCTTTTAATATATATATATATATTTTAAAGAGATTTAAACAAAAAATTAAGACTAAAAATAAAAAAATTTTAAAAAACAATTTCAAAGTTGTTGTTTTTTTATTTTCTAATTTCCATTTACAAAAAGCGCTCCGTGTGTGCAACAATAATGGAAATTCACCCCATACCTTTGTTCCTTACTCTGCTCTATTTTTATTCCCCATGGAAAGAAGCATCAGCCTTTAATCGTAACATTATGCAGTATTTCCATTTCCATTGTGTCACCTGTAAAAGCATGTTCTTACTGCAGTTCTTAACCAGATATATCAGATTAATCTAGATCAAGGGTGTCAAACTGGTTCCAGAAAGAGCTGTGTGGCTGCAGGTTTTCTTTCCAACCAAGCAATAGCTCACAGGACTCCAGTCATCTCATCAGGTCATCATGTTCAGATTGGACTCACTTGATGAGATGACTTGGGTCTGGTGTGCTACTGCTTGGTTGGAAAGAAAAGCTGCAGCCACGCGGCCGTTTCTGGAACCAGTTTGACACCCCTGATCTAGATTGTTCAGGTTTGGTATCAACATCAGCTTAGTATGTAAAAATGCTGGAGGAAATAGAAGGGTGTGCATATATATCAAAGATATTTAAGTAGAAAACAGTTGAAATTTGGGTTTAATAAGAAAGCTGCAATTTTCAGCTAAGTTTCAAAGACCCCAAAGTTCAGCTGGGGAATTTTAAAGCAATCAGACCTCCACCACCGCAGGCAGTTTAAGAGAAAAGTGGTTAAGTTTAAAAGATATTTTATTTTTTACTTCTTTTGCTTTATGTCTTCTCTCTCTCCCTTATTTTAGGAGTTTGGGCGTCCATTTTTCTAAAGTGCGCTCGCTTACGTTGGACTCGTGGGAGCCAGAATTACTCAAGGTGCATTTCTCTACAGCTTATCCTGCATGTGCAGCAATTTTTCTCCCAGTGGTGTTACAATATTAATTTGTTCCAGAACATTGCCACACTGCTACATTTTTAATTACTCCTTTTATAAAACGACACTCTTTTCTGTTCTGGTTTATTTATAATCTTTCTCTCTGTGTTTTTTCTTTTTTGTGTTTAGCTCATGTGTGAGTTGGGAAACACTGTGATCAACAACATCTATGAGGGAGCCTGCGAGGAGCTGGGAACTAAAAAACCAGGACCGTCTAGCTCCAGGTAAAACTAAATCCAGCAGGAATCGCAGTAAAAATTATCATGAATACTTATTGGAATGTAATGGAAATGTGCCTATCATTTTCCAGTTAGCACATTTTTATCAACGGTAATTATAAAGTCATAAAGAGTAGGATTTTCCCACACCAAGCTTTGGATTGGAGGTTCCCAACTTTCCATGGCCCCTCAAACAGCATTAGTTTCTGGCTTGGGACTCCATATGCAAACTAACAGAAAATTCTGCAAAATATGTAAATAAAAACTCAACCTGTTCTTTTCTATTTAGTTATTATTATATTTGTCCGGCATAAATAATATTAGGTAGAATGCTTTTAATTATGTATTATATTTCTAATAATCAGCAAATGTTTAAAAGAAACTGTTCATGGTAAGAACAGAACAATTCAAACCACATAAAAATGTGCGTTTGATTGTTATTATGTTACTACACAGTTATTACATTTGATCATTATAATACCAGCTCCATTAATAAGGACAAGTGTTATGAATTAGTACAATGTAGATAAACTGAATATAAAAAATTTTTTTGTTTTTCCTTGCATTACGTTACAGATGTTGTATTATTTCCTGTGCTTTAATAGTAGCTTGAGTGTGTTTATTCTCCATGAATTAGATAATAGTTCATCCTACAATCATTTTCCACAACATTTACTGTAAGTTGTACAGAAGTGAATATCATGTTTCTCGAAAAAACCTTAAAATTCCCTATATAGTCATTCACAATAACTAGTGACTCATCTGCTTTCCATATATTCCCACACCAGATGCTGTCTGGGCAGAGCACCCAGAGGCGATTAACGTTAAACACGTTAGGGCGGGGTGATATACCTTCAAAACTTATATCACTCATATCACACATATTTATCCATTTGGGTCGACACATCATTTCTATAGTGATATAAACAAAATAAAAAGCCTCAGAAAGTTGCCCAATACTGCCCCAAAAGAACCTGTACAAATTTATTTTTACCGTATTTACAAAACCATACAAGTTTAAAAATATTAGTTAGTGACAAAGGTAATCATGGAATTTAAATTATGTTGAAATGTCTTTAAAAGTCAGATTATTGTTATTGGAAAAAAAAAAATCTTGCTGTGTTTTATATTGATTGGCTTTATTTTATATTTCCATTTCTAACTTAAGTTCAAATCAACTCAATCCACTGATCTTAAATCTTTGATGCAGAATACAGTTTTTTAAGTCATACAAAACAAACATAAGGTTTGTTTTTTTTTTCATCGTCATGTTTGTGTCTGTCTGACTCTCCCTGGTTCCTAATATTCTACAGTTCAACACTGAGAATCGATTTACAAATGTGAAAATATTTCTTAAGAAGAGGAAAAAAAAGAGCTGTTTCCAGCTAGTTTTTTATAGGCTATACTATTTGGAATAGAAAGCCTGCAGCTTACTGTAATTAAAGGAAAGTATTATATAGGTTTGTGACACTGAGGAGAGATTAAATTGACTCATCTCCCTTTAGGCAGGAGAAAGAGGCCTGGATCAAGTTTAAATATGTTGAAAAACGCTTCCTGAAGAAGCTGAGTGGGAGTGAAGCTCTGGTGGAAGGGGAGAGGAAGTCCCGCCCCTGGATGGTTAAGAAATGCCAGCGTCACAGCAGTTCGATACGGGCCCCCAACAAGGCCCGCAGGAAGTACCACCGTTATGATCCAGGCAGCACCTCACCTGCCAACCTCACAGCAGGTTGGTGTGGCCCTCATGTGTTTCCATAACCACAACTTGTATACAAATATTTATGAAAATAAAGTAAAATCAAACTAAATTTCATTCATCCTAAAAAGGTTTTATTTTTCATCTGCAGCAGCTGCAGCAAAATTTCGGCGGGATTCACTTTTCTGTCCCGACGAGCTGGACTCTCTGTTTTCTTACTTTGACACTGGCTCTGGACCTCGCAGTAAGTACCGGAGAAATGTGTAATAACAGCTGCCTGCACTGCAAAAAATGCAAATCTAAATAAGTCATTTTCTTTTAAAATAAGTTATTTTATTCTTTAATTGAGGAGGTAAGTGAGAAACTTTGCCAAAGGAACAAGACATTTTAGATTTAAAATAAGAATAAGATCTTATTTCAACTGCATATTATCTAATTATCTTTTTTTAAGAATAAAAAAAATCTTATTCCATTGGCAAATCATCTTATTTACCTGCTCAAATTAAGGGTTAACAAACTTAATTTAAGAAATTATTACTTATTTCTAGATTGTTTTTTTTAGGTGTGTTACGAGTAACACTAGTCATCTTAACGCCACAGATTTAACACAGATGTTTGTTTTTAAAAATGGATTCTGTGGGTGTGTAATGATTAACGTGTCCATGGCTTGGCGATGCTTGGCCCTGCAGGTCTCAGCAGCGACAGCGGCCTGGGAGGAAGCACAGACGGCAGCACAGACATCCTGGTGTTCGGCAGTGTCACTGAGGAAGGTAAAAATGTTTGTTCATGTTTTTAGTTTTGTTATAAATCTAGAAAAAAGAGCTTTTGCAGTTCTTGCTCCCGTTGTGGAATAAATCGCCCGTCAGACTGACTTCATCTCTTGATGTCTTTAAAAGCCATCTGAAAAAATAACTTTTTTCTATTTAACTTATGACCCAGTGTGAACATTTTCGTTTTGTTTTAAATTGACTTGATTTTTCTCTTTCCTATCTGGTCTTTATTATTGTCCGAATTTTTTTAATTTTATTTAACATGATATTTAGAGGATTAAGAGCTGTTTTTAACAGCTTTAATAAAGGGATATATAGCCTTCCTGTTGTGAGGGGGTATTCTTTATTCTATTTGTAGAAATGGTGATATACTTACTTTAAGAGCAATCTTTAGTTAAAACAAAGAAAAAAATTATTCCTGAGTTGTGATTCTGAACAAGTTTTAGTCTTTGGATTGCATTTAGCATGACTAGTTCTACTTAAACAGCAGTCTCTATGTGTTTCCAAGAAAACTCATCTGTGAATCAAAATAAAAATAATAATTTTTTAAAATTTTTTTGCAAGTTCCTCTACAGACATAAGTTGAAAGCTTAAAGATAAAAACAGCCCAACACTCCCAGCCGTGCTGTTATCCAATGGCGTCACACTCTGTAGTGTTTTGGATGTGTCCTAGAAAAAAAAATCAAAAGCATCCAACCAGCATCCATATTGAAGAGTTTCTACAGTTGTTGAATATAGTTTATTCAATGATCAGAGAAAGACAAAATTTTTATTTAATGAAATTTAAAAATTTCATTAAACATTTCTAATGAAATTTTACCAGTCAAAGCTGTAACATTGTTAGAGAAGAAATGTGTTTGAGAATTTGCTGCTGCATTAAAAAGCTTTTTCTCTTTTCCTTTAAACTAAATAATTTGTTTTTTGTTTCATTTTTTTTTAATTTTTCCTCTTACAGAGGAGGAGTCGGAGGAGTCCTCCAGCGGAGAGGTGGAGATTGAGCAGGAGGGGTCTTCAGATCCGGAGGATCCCAGGGAGCTGCATCCCGGGGCGCTGCTCTACCGCTCCTCTCGTCTGCACAATTTGTCACTCATGGCGGAGGCTCTGGCACACGGTGCTGACGTGCACGCCACCAACGAAGAGGAGGAGGGGAAAACGGCTCTCATACAGGCTGTGATCGGGGTGAGAGGCTCTGTGGTCTGTCTGTGGGTTTTTAGTATCTAATAGGAAAACGTTAGACAGAACAACTAATTGTTATAAATGATAATGATAGGAAAAGCTATAAAGGGACCAAAGTCTGTAACTTCAGTCTGGCTCCATTAAAATGGATAAACACCCGCAGTAAAGGGCCAGATATGCCTCCATATACCTCACAGAAAAGTCCTGCTCGCCTTTATTGTCTTAGTTTAGTACTTGATAAGCTTTTGAAATTATTCGGAATTTATTGATGACTAGTTTTCAATAGAGATTTAATGTGATAAGCTCTAAAATGCAGTTTGGACCTTAAGCTTTTAGATCATACATAGCTTTTATTCACTTAATCCACACATACAAAGACTCAGCTTATACTGCAGATTAACTTCTTAGCCTTTTAGTTCCGTTTAAAGGAAGAAGCCTTGAAATCAGAATCGATTCGCTTTCATCAGGGATCTGGGGTAGAAATGCAAGTTGTTTCCACAGGCAACAAAAAGCTTCTTCTGACCTTAAAATAAACCCTTCCTATCAGCTGCTCTTTTTCCTTATCTTCACATTTAAGTCAGGTAAATATATCCAGATTACTCCAAAATATTAGTTTTAGTTTTAGACAGGGAAAATTATAGATTTTGAAAAGGTTTCTAGAAATCTTTAAATTAAGAAAATGGTTTAGTTGCATTGCCAGATTACAGGAATTGCATTTAAATAGTTTTTCTTTGTAGTTGTTAGTTGCATAAATCTAAAGTAGGTAAAAATCCTCTGAAATAAATATGTTTTTAATTAAAGCAGGTAAATAAGATGATCTGCCAATGGAATAAAATAAGATATTGAGAAATTATACACTTGGGATAAGATAATAGAGTTTTTTTTTTTCTTTTTTAATTTAAAATGTAAATAATTCAAATCCATTAACCAGTTGTCTTACTTTCTCAAGACAAAGAGAAATACGCTTATTTAAAAAAAAACAGCAACTCATATTTTAATGCTTGCAGTGAATTAAAAATAGAATACTATGCATGAAAGAGCTTGCATTTAGGTCTATTTTGAGAAAAGAGCAGATCTAAGTTAGTCTAACGGCCCCAAAAAGCTGCAGAATAGCTGTTATCCTGGCCCTATCTCTGTCCATATCATTATGCTGTTATGCTTGTCTGAAGTCTGGCTCCCCATATGGTAACCAACAATCGATTAGATTTCACAGAGTAAATCCCATTTCTGTGTGTTTCTGATTGGCTTCCAGGGCTCTCTGATTGCCTGTGAGTTCCTGCTACAAAATGGAGCCGATGTAAACCAGAGAGACATGAGAGGCAGGGGCCCACTCCACCACGCCACATACATGGGCCACACTGGGTAAGAGGCTTTACGGGAAACACTTACCTGTGAGTGATGTAACTAGGCTGCAAGTGTGACAACGACTAGCATTTAAAGGAAATGCAGGCATATGACGCAGTTTTTGTTTAACCGTTGAATCTTTCTAATGAGGTGTGTCACTTTGATTACTCATAGTCTCTTGGAGCATTTCTTCTTATAACCTGATTTTTCTGAAATCATTATAAAGTCTCAGTCTGGTTCGATATGTCAGCTAAATCCCATAAAAGATCCCTTTTTAGCTGATCCCTTCCTTTCTGCTTCCTTTTGGAACAGCCAGGTGTGTTTATTTCTCAAGAGAGGAGCGTCGCAGACAGAAGTGGACGAGCAGGGTAACGATCCGCTCAGTATCGCCGTCCAGGCTGCCAACGCTGACATCGTCACTCTGTAAGATTTCCCAACCACCACGTGCCTTACTAATCATTGCACACGGTTTAAGTCTGGATCGCTCACTTAGGAAGGAGTGTTTTCCCATCTAAACCCGTTCTAAACGGCTGAAGTGCAAGCGGAAATTACAGATCCAGTCAATCAGCTCTGCACCAATTCTTAGAGGAAAAAAATCGCTTTTATTGCGATATACTCTGCAGATACTCCTAAATATACCAGAGGAAAGATCAAATCATTATATAAGGTAACTTTAAAGTTACATAATGATGTTACAGAGGGTTGGCTTTTTGCCTGATGAAAACTAAACCAGTTTTTTTTCCTGAAGCAGTCAGCAACTGGTTGCTGTTTCAGCTCTGAGTTTGCAGTCGTATCACTTTGGTGGAAAAAAACAAAGCAGTAAATCACTCCATTTTACAAGTTGGCACAATTCGGGAATTAAAAAATTATCGTTATAAAATAGGTTTAAAAATAAAGAAGATGTACAACAGTGTCATGTTATAATTACTACAAGAGATTAGGGAAGGACAATTAGAATTATTTTAAGGTGATAGAAATTATTTTATTGTAACATTGACCTCTAATAGTCACTGTTGATGGTTGCAAATCCTCAAAGTGTCAACAGCTGAGGTTTTTACTTTTGTTTTTACTTTTTATAATGTTGATGCCCAAATTATTCTGTAAATATCAATTAAATTCAAATCAAAATCACCCATAATGTTGTAGGAAATCACAGCTGTTATAATCTGTTTTAGATCATTTTATAAGCAGCAGGGATATATTTTTTTTGTGCTCTAAAACCAGTTTAATCTTTATATATATATATATTTATTTATTTTTTGATTTTTGTACATTGAAAATGGAAACAAAAATGCAATCCAGAAATATAACTATGAAGTAGGTTTTTAGTTAAAAAACCAAAGATTTGATAGTCATTTATTATTGCTTTTATTTATTTTTACTTTTTTTCATATATATATTTTTTTATTTTTAACTACATTTTTTGTTTTGAAAATTTTAGTTATCTTTTGTTATCTTTAGAGATTATACATTTTCAAATGTTGGTTTTTCAAACAATTATTTATATATTTTATACTTTTTTGCAGATACATTTTTTATTTTTATTTTTTTCAAAATTTTGCTTTTTGCATAATGGCATTCTTTTTTTAATTGCTTTTCACCGATCATATTCTCTTTACTTCAGGCCCAGGACAATTGCTCAGTCATTGACCAATAAGAATGTTGCTAACATCAATGCAGACCAATAGAAATGCATCTTCACTCCTCACTTCAGAGGAAAACCCGCCCCCAGAAGTGAACTCCAATTTAAAAAGAAGGAAATTTGTCAATCTCAAATATTTAAATATAAAATCTGTATAAAAAAGAAAATATATTTTTTGATAAATTGAATTTGAAACTATAAACTAATTTTTTTAAATACTAAAAAAATAAAATCGGAAAAAAAGGAAAGTAAATTTGAAGAATCAGTTTTGAAACAAAAAAGCTCATTGTACTTTTATGTTTAGTCATTGTTCTACCTTTGTAAATGAAGTTACAACACAAAAATCAAACATTGCTTGTTTTTGGTGATTCTATCACATATCCAAAAATAAAACACTAATTTACAGCAAAACTACCTTGATTAATTTTTTCTAATTTAAATTTTTGGATTGAGTTTTTTTTATAAATCATAATTCCACAAATTTGTTTAGTCAAACTTTAATTTACAAAGCGTGTTATTGTCTTACAACATTAATGAAACCAAATTCCCGTCCATAATATTCTCCTAATGATGTTCCTTTCCCCTCCTTCTCCACCCCTTCCTCTCCTCCAGGTTGCGTCTGGCGCGGATGAACGAGGAGATGCGCGAGGCGGAGGCTCCACTGGGTCAACCAGGTCAATACCCGAGCAGCAGCCCCACTGAGCAGCAGTATAGGAAGTGCATCCAGGAATTCATCTGCCTCAACATAGATGAAAGCTAGTGGCTCCTCCTTTTCCCGGCATTGGTCGCGCTTTGCTCATGAACCTTTTATTTTCTCAACCAGACTGAGAGCCCGATTGGGTTGAAGTTGCCACAAGACGCTGATCTCAAGTCTTCCATAGATCTGCAGATCTAGATCTTACCGGCAACTTCTTGCAAACAGGGGATCTTTGGAGGGGACTGGCAGGGTGTATCAGAGGGAGACCCCTGGTGGAGCCGTCTAACTCTACTGACAATATAATCGCCACCTCCATTTTCCTGCATCACACCTAAAACTTTCCTTATTACTTCTTGGCACCACTCATGCTGTTGCTGACTACAGTACATACTCTTATAGCTAACATCTGCTTTTTGACGTTATACTAACAGGGTAAATCTTCTAAGCTCACTGAAGGCTGTGTAACCTGCACGTTCTGGGTTGATTTCTGGCTCTTGGTTAACCCTCAACATTTTCTGTCTATACAGACCATCTGTGCTACATCCCATCTCTTATATACGACTGATCAAGCTATAATCGTATTTAGAGGACTAGAAACTGTGTACTGTGGCATGAGGTTTGAAAAAAAAATTGTATCTGTTCAATTACTAAAGAAAAAGAGCATCTGAGAAGCTGCATAGGAGGTGCCAGGGTAGTTTACTGTGACAAAAAAAAAAAGAAATAGAAGGGCTTGTGGAGGAGAGTCCTTCATCTGCTGTGTAAGATACTTAGTGATGAGTGAGTGAACATGAGAGAAAGAGAGTAAAATTTGCTGTTTATTGTTTTTTTGTTTTGTTTTTTTTACATTATCAAAAGGAAAAAAAAAAAGAAACTGTGCACTTTTTCCAATTATACAGTATTACTGTTTTGTTTGCTCTACATTGTTCATGTCTAGATGATGTCTCTGTGTTATTTTATTTATCATCCCAGAGGACCAGTGCAATTCATCTTTGAATGCAGTCCCTGTCTGCATATATATATTTATGATTGTCCTTTTAATCCCAATTATGGGAGAAGAGAGGGAATAGCCTTAAGTTGCAGTAAATAAAGTCAGTGATAATGCTGGTTTTTCTAAATCACTTAAAACTTTATTTTAAAATTCTCTTGAAGGGAAACTATAAAAGTGCAGCCATTAAAGTACATGAGCCAACAAGCATGTAGTGCATGCATCCAGAGCCATGCAAAAGTATTTATGCTTTATCTTTTTCCCATTTTGAAATGTTAAGAAAGCAAACTTCAAAGTCCTTTATATGGATTATTATGGGATAGACCAAATCAAATAATAATGCATTTTTGAAATGGAAGGAGAATGAGAGCTGATTAGATGTTTTTGATTTGTTTGCTTCAAACAAATAGTAATCTCTAACATTTGGCATGGAGTTGTTCTCACCATCAGTGAGTCAATGAAAAATAATCAGGTACAGTTATAGCGTCAAGGCTTTTGATTTTATATCTCTACGAACTCGCCATCGCTTCCAAGTCGGATTTACATATGGACCTAATATAGACTGTTTTTTTCCAAAGTCATCAACTGTCAACAGATCTCTGCTGAAAAACGGCACAGCAATATGGTGCAATTGTGTTAAGTTCATTGAGACAGATCACCATCTTCCACAGCTAAAGCAACCATAATGTTTTTCTAATGACGCTATTTCTTAACTTTGGTTACACTGGATTTCATTCAGGGGCGTCAGAGTAAAGGTGGCCAAAAACAAGCTATTTGGATTTTATTTTGCAACAAAAATAGTTGATGTCTCTGTGATGATGTCACAGAGAGTTGGCTGATTTATTATACTATATATATATATATATATATATATATATATATATATATATATATATATATATATATATATATATATATATATATATAGGACTCCAACACACTGTTTCAGGACTACACTTTTTCTGGCTTCAAATCAGGTCCGCCTGATGAAGCCCTGGTACCAAAACATTGCAAATAAATGTCTATTAATGTAAGTTTGGACAGTGTGCGGGAGTCCTTTTATAAACTTTTAAACAAAACTAGTTCAGATTATGTATCGTTTTCCTTCCATTTTCCACTGTACCATTAAAAAGTTGGATACTGTTGTAAAACATCTAAATCTCCATTTCGCCTTCTTCTGTTTTACTTCCATGTATTGAAGACGAGTGACTCGAGATACTATGTGTGAAAAAAAGACCTCCAGTTTCCTGTAAATACTCATGTATAATAACTAATGTATGAGGAAATAGCAGAGCACCTTGTTTGGTCACAGGACGTGTGCCCTGCCTCCCCTCCCTGGTCAGTACCTATGATATCCTATGTATGCTTTCTGGAGCTTATCATCGTTTGCGTTCTGAAGCATGATGAACTAATTATTTTTTCTTTTTAAATAATTTGATCACTTTGTACAGCGTAGTCCTGTGGAATGAGCATGCACCACGGCGAGGGCCTTCTGGTCTCCTTCAGTGCCATTCTCCCATCCACAGTTTCTAGTCTGTGTATCTCTGTATTACAGACTTTTTTTTCCCACTTGTGGTTTTATTTTCCTCTGCCAAAGACTTTTATAAAAGGGAACGTGTCGATACAGAATAGTCCTGCCTTCCTCTGTGAACGGACAGAGGTAGAAACGCTGTGATGCAATAGTTCAGTGCGAGTAGAACCAGGCTACAGGGGCGAAGCTGCTGTGACCAAACTGTCAAGCAGCGCCGCCTTCGAGGAAGTAATTAAATGTCGTGTCCATTTGTGTGTTTTGATTTCCGAGTGGTTCCAGGTGCTGTTCTAAGGAAATGTCCTGTAAATATTTTGCGTGTGTATTTTATCTTGATGCCAGCTGGCTGCCTCAGCATTCTGTCACAGAATCTGATTAACTGACGATATTTTACGTTTGTGTTTGTCAGACTGAAAATCACTTCTATAGTACTTGGAGACATTCTTCCGGTTCCTTACATTTGACTATTATAGGAGTACTTTCTTGTCTTTAGAAGCACTAAGGGAGGAAAAAAAAAAAAAAACAATGCAACAAATAAATCTGAAATCCCTGAGAAACTAACCCATGCTTCCTACTTCTTGCTCTCATTGTTTCGTATCACTCCTGTACCACCTCACATCCTCCCAACATGACTTTTTGAAGAAAACTGTGGTTGTAAAAGTTCATTTAAATCCTATTTCTATTTTTAAAAGTCAAAAATGTTGGGAGAATGTTTATTTTATATGCAAACAGATCTGTTGTGGGCTATTTTGTGACTGGTAAACTCTTCATGTCTTAAATTATTCAAAGAAATAAAATCCGGATGTATTTCGAAACATTTGCTAAGGTTCATTTAGTTGTTGAGTAGTTACAGCAGAACTAAAGAAAAACAACAATAATACAGTTTATTGGGAGAAAAAGAAATAAGCTGCAAAAAATAGAAGTTAGGATCTTCTTTTAGATCTGAACTTTGAAAAAAAATAAAAAATAATTTACTTAAAAACAAAATAATTGCTGCCATTTTATTTCAGTTCAATTAAAATGTTTTTAATTGGGTATATAGATATAGAAATCGAAAAAGTGTAATAATAAACAAAAATGAAAACATATTTAGCAAAATAAAGACACTTGACCCTCACTTTTTACTTTTAAATACTTGGAAGTTTTTCACATTTTAAAGCCAAAAGAAAAAATAATCAAGTTCTTCTATTTTTTTAACACTAAAATTGTTTTTTCTACAGATTTTATGTTTTCTAACCTTTGTTAAGCTTTATGTACATCACTGAGAAATATAACCTATCATAAATGCCATTTCACATGTAACTGGTTTCCATGTAAATAAATAAACCCTGTCTGACATATCATTGCTTCTGTCACCACAGGGGTTGCAACAGGCAGCAGGAAAGATAAACTCAAGGATGGTCGGGATAGAGTGAGTGAAGCACTCTGGGCCGTCTGAGGACCAGTGTGATGTTTCTTTCTGCTCTGGTGATTGGGGTGATGGCTGAGGGGCCTCTAGTTTGCTGCTCTTTATGGCTGGAGACATTTGGATGTTATGAAACCTTTATCTCTTCTTGATTAGTAAGAAATCTGACATTATATGTAGAATAATCACCTCGCAATGAATAATTTAATTAAGAGAGCAAAAGTTAGCATCCATTTTACATACAGTTGTGCTTGAAAGTTGACATAAACTTCCATTAAATACAGAAAAAAAATCAGCTGACAGTAAAATAAACTGAATTTGACAAAAGTAATAATAAATACAAATGATAAACCATGGAAATCAGGACACTGATGTATGTAAGTATGTATGTGTGTATCTGTATGTATGTATGTATGCGTGTGTGTGTGTGGGGGGGGGAGTGGGGGGGTGTATATGTGTGTATATATTTACATAAAAATAACAATGGTTTTAGTCTCCACAGCAGATACATCGGTAAAAGTGACATGTTTATCTTTGTTATTTTAATCTATATTATTCCTTAATCTGAAACACTCCATTTCACTATGACTAAAAAAATGTGTTTCATCACTGAAGGAGCCTTTTAGTTCCTGGGGATTTGCCATAAAAAGTCTCTCGCTTTTTAAATGCCAGAGCCTTTTAGGTGATGAAGTCAAATGCTCGCTGTAAAGTGTTCAGCAGTCAACAAAAACTTAAATTTTGCCATTTTAACCCTTCTATAATAAAGTATTTCAGAACTCAGATGAAGCAATTAATCTGTCACTAATTGGTTTCTTTTGATTTCGCTTGGTTTCTAAGAAACACCTGAAAAATCATGTGAACTTTGCTCATTTGTAGCATTAAAGATACCTTATTTATAGATTTATACATAGCTGCTTTTTTTAAACCCAAAGGCGTCGGGTGTCAGCCTCAAATTCATGAGTACAGCTTTTTTTTTTTATACTTAAATCTTAAATCCAGAAAACGTAATGGGGGGACTTCAGGGAAATTTCATCATGTGACTTCTAAACCTGGAAGCTCTGGAGTTGTATATTTGATAAAATGTGCCAAGTTTTTATAGTCATGTTTTATTTTATTTTGCTGCTGGAATGTTAAACTCTTTTGCAATTTCAAGTGTTTTGTTGCATATAACAGGTTATTCCTGTTATTTAGCTCCAATATTCTTCCCATCACCTCTGACCAGTTTCTGTTCAAAGATTATGCTCAGTTGTACTAACACACACAGGGTTTTTAATGTGTGCTTTCTTTCAATAATAACCCTATAAGAATAATTGCGTAAAAGAGAATTCTGTTTCTATTTACAATTTTTTAAAGGGGGGTGGATGATAACACTTTTATCTAAGCGTATCAGAGTACTAGGGAAGGTGAATGGAAATAAAAGCAGCACTTTTGAGTTTTTACTATGAAACATGAGAATTTTGCTTCCATTTCATAAAATCTTTTGAGTTTGCTCATTTAAATTTATCTAACAAAAGTTAATGTATGGTTCTAATGGGGCAGAATTTGAAAAACAGCAACGTTTTTGTAATAAACATTAAGAAACAGAGCTGATTTGTTGAACTCACCACTGGCATTTCCTTGCTAGAACTGAGCAAGTTCCATCTTTAACAAGTGTTTTTTATCCATTTAAAATATGAATTATATCCTCTCCTAAATTGTGAAATATTTAGCCGTTTGTGAAATCGCTTCTAATCTTAGTTTAACCTCTAAATCAGAAACACAGGTAAAACAAAGTACCATGCATAATTAAAAATGAAAAATCACATGAATAACTGTGACTTATGTGCAGATTAAAATTTTCTAAAAACTTAAAGCTTATATTTCTATACATGAAGGAAGGGAAACCTCACTTTATCATTACACTTTGCTTTTGGGATTTTTCTCCTTTGGTGTTTAGAAAAATATATTTTTGTCATTTTCTTCCTAAACTCTGGAAAGGGGTTTCACCAGTGCACTATCTAGTGGGTTTGTGGCCTCTGTTATGCATGGTGAGAAGGTTCAGAAAGGTTTTGTTGATCTGCATGTTCTCAGGTTGATTTTAATGTTCCTTTTACAGGCAACATCTCCAATGCTGATGTCTTTCGCGAGTTTTCTGTCCTCGCGTCTCTCCAGCCCGAGAAGTTGAGGAGAAGAAGCGTACAGTTCAGCCGTTATCAGAAGCTATAGTGACCACTGTCAATCATCTTTTCATTGCCCACTCTTCACTCCCTATTTGATAAAAATAGAAGCAGTTGTATGCAATGCATGCGTTATCGTATGACTTATAACTATTTGCAGGCCCAGGATCATCTCTTCACTTTTGCTTTCCTGTTCAGGTAGCTCATCTGAGATCTCATATATCAGAAAGTGAAAAATCCAAGCAATATTACTACTTATGCTGATTTTTTTTTTTCTCTGTTGTGGAAATTAGAGGTGGGTGGGTCTCATTTGGGATGAAAAATGGTCTGTTAAACCAAGAAACCAAGTATGAAGGAATCCATTGTGTTTTAGGCTTTGCAATGGATCTCAATGTAATTGGGCTTTTGGTATTGGCATACCAAAATCTATAAATTAGTATATTACAGAAAACCTCATTTAAATCAGTGAGTCATAAAAGGTGTAACTACTATAGTTATGGACCATGGATGGTTAAAACAAAAAACACACATATAATCACAATAAAACCATGGAACAATTCAGTTTATGTATATAGTGCCAATTTCCAAACATGTCATCTCAAGGCACTTTATAGAGACAATTCAACCAGATCATACAGTAAAATTGGTTCAAAGTTTTCTATCTAAAGAAAACCAGTTGATTGCATTGACTCATTGCTTCTTCAGCAATTCCTCACACTAAGCATGCTTGTAGCGACAGTGGAGGGGAAAACTCCCTTTGAACAAGAAGAAACCTCACAGAACCAGGCTCAGTGTGAACGCTATTTATACATCTTCCATTAGTCTTGTAAGAAAATGTTGCTTTTAGTTTGACATATGCAACCAACACTTGGTCGGGTGTTCTTTTGAAATACTTAATCAGCCTGTGGATCTGCTGAAGTGTAATAAAAGTTTAGGTTCTTTTAATGTATTTGTGGCACTTGAAGCATCCCCTACACTTTGTCAATCAGTGTTGTGGTAAGCTCTGCTGTTTCACATTTCTGCATCAAAACACTTCTTCTTTAAGGGATACTGCAATGTGTAGCATTAGAGTAGGCACCCTGTAGGCTTTTCATTGTTCACAGAGCTGTTAGAGTTTTGACTCAAACCTCATCTGCTGCTGGTCTAATTAACCTCTCATTCTGCCTCCCATTTCTGTTTCTTCACTGTAAATAAAGGACACTAGTGCCTACAAATTCATAAATGGATTTTTTTTTTGGTCTAATTTGATACCCTAATTTTGGGTTAAGCTGTAAGCTATAATCATGAAAATAAGATGAAATATATATATATATTACTTTTATTTTTAGATTCAATGACAGTAAAAGACGTATTCCACTGAATAATTGAAATAACCTGTAATTGGTTTGTAGATAATTTGTTTTCTTTTAGTTATTCTGACAAACATATCTGTTTTTTTTCCAATTCAATGTTTATTATGAATTGTCAAATCTGCTGAAATAGAATTAATATAAAATAAACTTTATCAAAATAATTTTCCACAAATTGGCTTTTAGACAGAAACCTTTAGTCTGGTCCCTTTTTTTTTCTATTTCTTCCATGATAAAATTAATGTTTGGGTTTTTTTTCTCACTGTTTTGTTGTCTTACATTGCTACAGAGAACATTGTGGAAATTGTTTTGTAATTAATACTCTCTGTGAGGAGTAAACTTTACTTGTTTAAAATCTTTGTTTCATCACACACTTTTACTGTAGACTTGAAATGTATTTTGTACCTTAAGGTGGAAGTGAAATAAACTAGATTCAAGTTTTTTTTGTGTGTGATTTTCTTCACTCTATTTTTAGATTTAAATTGTTTTTTCAGCCTCTTAATTGATTAATGAGGAAAATAAAATCAGACAAGCTGCAGTTTCTTAATGGTGATTAGTAGATTATATTATCCAACCATCTTTAAGTGCGATTATTGACCTTGAGGGATTAATCGGAATTATATTCCACATCAGATTTAACCAATTGAGGACCTTTCAACTAGACGTACAGTAGAAAAAAAAAACGCGGAAGTGCAACTGTTCCTGCTAGTGACGTTAGCCAGAGTGACGTTAGCCAGAGCTACGTTGGTGTCATCGTCCTGTCGGTGTTGAGGCTTAACAACATAAACAAAAATCTTGATCTCGTTCCCAGCCACGAACAAATATTCCCACTGGAGTCTCTAAAGAGGTATGTCGACACTAGAAACCCCCTGAGGAAGAAAAATGAGGGAGGAGAGTAGGCCGCAATGTGTCTGTATCGGAGCTGGAATTAACAGCTGTTGCTAAAGCTAGTTAGCATTGGCCTGCGTTAGCTGACGCTTGTAGCTGCTAGCTGCTGGCTGGTCCCGGAAAGGTTCACAGTCTGTGACAGTCTAAAATAATGTAGTTTTATCTTTTTTAAACCCTTTTTGCGTTTTTCATTAGGTTTTTAAGTTGAATGTACTTTTTAAATTTCGCCGTCACACAGCTGTTCCTCGCTAATCTGGCTCACATTGATCCGCCGGTGTGTTAGCATCAACCTAGCTTGTTAATTGTCGGATTAGCATTAACTAAATAAGTTGCGTTAAGAAGCAGGAAACCATCTTGTTATACTTGAAACGTTGTCCTTATGCGCATTTTATTGCTACTGTTTGGGCCCGTGACATTAGGTAATTGGATAGAAGGACATGTTCTCATTTGTTTGATTCTAAAGGGTCAATGTAGAGATCTGAAAGTATACTCAAATGCAGTCATGTGATTGGATTGATGTAACGACACTTTCGCATTTACTTTGTGGATATGGAAGCCAGTTTTAACATGATCAAATTACACATATTTCTAAAACTGCTGTTTAGTGTTAGTTGTGTCATCCTTAGTCCATATGATGGTGATCACAGTCTGACTTATCTAACTATGCATCAAGCATAACATTCCTGATACTATTTATGTTATAAACTTTTTAAAACTATGGATAAAAAAACTACGGTCAACGTTTCTAAAGGTAATTTTAAATGCAATGGCACATTAGTTTACGTTGCCTTACAGAGACAATGGCCGCCATAAAATTATCCTAAAGAATTTCCTCCCTTCCAATAATAAAAAGCATTTAATCATTTCGCTGCATTTTAACTTCATGTGATTCACACATTCTGTATAACTAACATAAATAGCTCTTTTATTCTTTCTATTTAACATAAATATTTCGACTGAATATTTTTATATTCTGCAGCCCTACAACGTCCAGTTAATGTAACCTTTTCTGTTATTCACATCTGCATAGATAACTTTTATATTTCATTGGAAATCTCAAAGTATTCCAATTAGCTTGGAAATCATTTGCAGATTTTAGTCTTTGAGCTGAGGATGGGCAAGTTAGGTGTATCCATGTATGTAAAGTTATAAATAAAGATGGTCACAATCACATTTAGGCTACGGTCACACAGCAGCCTAAAGTGCACTACCATATGCGGCCTGTATTTGATCTTTTCATGACAGTCTTAACAACACAGATCTGATTTTTTTTTTTTCCAATGTGATCCATGCTGTAGGGATGCACGATATAATCGGCCCCCTATCGGTATCGGCCTGTATCGGCCTTAAAACTGAATATCGGACATCGGCCACCCCACTGATATTTAACCCGATATTTGATCAGCTTCTGAGTTTCTAAAAAATTTCAAAAAAAAATTTAAATACTACTTCTTCTTCCTCAAAAACTTCTTTTTTACAGACTTAAAAACTTCTAAAGACAAGGGAAAAAATATTGATACATTAAAATATCACAATATCTTCATATGCTGATATATTGCCATTTAAAAACACCATATCAATCTCTTTTACTAATGAAATATTGCTATATGTCATTGTTATGCTACGAAATCCCCCGAAAATTCACGAAATTTTGACATATTTTTATATGTTGATATATTGACGCGGTATCGATCTATTTTACTAACAAAATCTCAGAAGAATTTGCAAAATATCACGACAGTTTGTAACAGAACGATGAAATTTCACGAGATTTTGAAAGTAAAATAGATCGATACCGCGTTTTAAAAATCTATTTGATATCAGCATATGAAAATATATTTGAGTATATTATTTTTCAAAGTGTCAGAAATGGATAACAAAACTGCTATTTTCAATGACTACTTATTTTTGTCCAGCTTTATCATCAGTATCGGTTATCGGCTACATGAGTTTTAAAATATCGGCATATCGGATATCGGCCAAAATCCCAATATCGTGCATCCCTACCATGCTGCTTGGCTATGTGGTCCTGAATCCGATACAAATCAGATCTTTTCAAATGCGACCTGTGTCTGAATGGCCAGGTGTCATTCATCCGACCTGAACGTCATTTATACCCAACATAGGTCACTATTCTGTGTCTTGCTACGCAGCAGCAAGAAAAACCATGGCTGACGATAATGTGAAGATTTCTAGATGGAGTTCAGCACTACCATACATGTTAACTTCTGTAAACAAAGAGCATGCCTGCTTGTGACATCATTGCATCCTCTACTGTGCATGCAGGACACTTCACACTGGAGATCATATAAAAGTCACATATATTTGGAAATTTGTACAGCAAAGCAAAAAAATCGGATTTCAATGAAAAATTGAAATTGAGCATAAAGGTCTGTAGTGTGAACGTAGCCTTAGTGAGGTGGTAAACATGGATGGTAGTGCTGAGCGCATCAAGCAAGCTTTCATTTCTTTTCCAGCGGGAGCCCGCGCATTAACAATGCAATCTTTTTAGGAAGATCCCAAAGACAGACTGATCTCCACATTATCGTCCGCGATGGTTCTTCTTCTTCTTGTCTCTGCGTTACAAAACACAGAATAGGGTCTTTGAGTATTAATGATGTTCAGGTTGAAAGAAAAGTGATATGGCCATTGAGACACTGGTTGCATTTAAGAAGATCGGATATGTATTGGATTTAGGACCTCATAGCCTTTGAAAAAAAATCTGATCTGTTGTTCAGACTCGCATCAAAAGATCAGAAATAGACTTGGGTCACTTCAGGCTGAATTTGTGAACATAGCTAAAGAGACAAAATAATATTCCGGTGACTTAATCCCAAAAGAAAGTAAAAATTATTGTATTTGTATTAACTGTAGTCTAATTGTCAAAAAAAGTTTCTAATGTACCATTATGGCATGTAAATATCAAGATGTTTACATTTAGCATCTATTATAATCTAGCTGGCTTTCAATCTTTTTATAAAAACTTTAAAACAGGTGTTTTTATTCAATGTAATTACTATGAAAATCTCTCGTCTCAACAAACCTACCTTAAAGTCTGCTCTTTAAATGTGTTACTACATAGTTTTGCTAATACTGATATGAATCATAAAGTTAAATTTCCAAGTGCCAATCATGCGATACTTTTGAAATGCTTGTTAAGACAAAAGTATATAGTTGAAGAAAAATTTTATTCTTCAATATTTTGTTATTTCGAAGATTATTTTTCTGCAGCTAGGTGACTGTTACAGATGAAAAAGTGCAAGGCGTGGTATTAGATTCTCACTGCAATGTTTGCGTAATTGTCGCCTTGAGAGATGTTGTATCGTCGACTGCTGATAGGTGAGGAACAGTGCTAGCTTGATGTGTAATTAGTCATAAGAAATAAGCTCGGCACGGTCAACTAATGCAAGCTTGGTCCGAACTCTGCACAGGTCGATTTCAGAGGGCTGGTGTAGATGGGGCAAAAGCCTGTTGAGTCTGCTTTGCTGACTTCCTCGCTGGTTCTGGGGCACAGCCTTGACCTTAAATCTTCATCCTCATCACCTCTACTTCCTTGCATTTGGCTCTGGAGGAAATTATATTAAATATAGAAGTTATGTTTATTACATTTATTTGCTCCCTTTGATAGATGGACCAAGATGTTAAGTCAAACAATCACTACTTAAGTATGAGAGACTCAGTTTCTACCACAAGAAAATACAGTACTTGTTCGTCAACCCCAGGTGAAAAGTGATTATTGGATTGTAGATGCATTTATTTTTGAAGAAGCGTGCCTTTTAAAAAGAAATGAATTTAAAAAACGTGTTAAACTCCAAACCACTCCCCTGTTAAATACTGCTGGGGCTAAATAACCGAAACCCATGATTTTCATTTTAAAGTAACAGGTTGCAAGGTCACAGAGGTTCTGTCTGAAATTAAACCGCGGTTTTCAGATACATGCGATCATTACGGTGATCAATAGGATAGGAACTGAGACGTGTGAGCAGAGATTAGAGAGGAGCTTTGGATGCAACATCATTTCTGACACACAACAGGTAGCTAATATTAAAGGAGAATTCTGGTTTTTAACACTTTTAGCCCATTTTCTGTAGTGTCCAGGATGAAATCGAATGATCGACACCAAAATTTTGACAATTGGTCCTGTCTCTGCTTTTTGGCTCATGCAGAATCCCCCCCTGGCTGCTTCAGAATGGCTTCCATTGTGCATGTCCGATAATGTCCTTAAAACAACCTTAAACGTTCTTTTTTTTAAATATGCTACTCACCGGGTCGTCAGCGCTGTTCAATGACATTCCAAAAAAAGTTTCGTGAAGAAAAAACGTTCCTGTAGTGTTTTATTAAGCATTTGGTAAATCCCGTTGAGTTCTGTTAGAATAGTCAATATCCCTCTGCCACCGGAAACGGAAATGGGGAAAAGACTACACTTAGTTGTAGTCTTTTCGCTTCACTCTGTGTACTCCGACGTCGAGGTGCTAACGTCTCTGTTAAACACTTTAAAAAACTCTGTAAATGGAATACGAAAGGTGGATTCTTGATGAGGACATATTGGACTTTGAGTGTGACGGTAGAGGATACCGTTTTGAACCGGAATATACTGAGGAGGAGTATATAGAGACAATGTCGCCAACTAGTGGTCTGGAGTGTGCAACGCTTCAGATTCGAACGGGAAGTGGAAGTTTATAAGCGGTTGTGATGTATCGGAAAAAATAGTTCTGGGATTTACAAAATGCTAAATAAAACAAGACAGGAACGGTTTTTCTTCACGAAACTTTTTTTGGAACGTCATTGAACAGCGCTGACGACCCGGTGAGTAGCATATTTTAAAAAAAGAACGTTTAAGGTTGTTTTAAGGACATTATCGGACATGCTCTATGGGAGCCATTCTAAAGCAGCCAGGGGGTGATTCTGCATGAGCCAAAAAGCAGAGACAGGACCAATTGTCAAAATTTTGGTGTCGATCATTCGATTTCATCCTGGACACTACAGAAAATGGGGTAAAAGTGTTAAAAACCGGAATTCTCCTTTAAGGTGTAATGAACTCTGAGGACGTGTTTTTATGCTTGTGTGTGTACCTGTACCTGTCTAGCCCTCAGTGAGGACCATTTTTCCAATTTCACCATCAAATTGAGGACCAGTTGTTGCAAAGTGAGGACATTGAGCCAGTCCTCACATGCTATTTTGTGAACGGTTAGGTTTAGGGCTAAGGTGTCAGTTGGTTAGGGTGAGGTATGCATCGGAAATGGTTAGGTTTAGGGCATAGAAAGGGTTGAAAATGATCAATACATGGTCCTCACTACGAAGGCATAACGAGTTTGTGTGTATTAGGGTTGTCAAAAGTATCGATACTGAAATGTTGTATCCGGATACAATACTCGTTTTTAAAAGTATCGATACAGTGCCACCACCAGTGGCACCTAAGCAGTCAATCATCTAAAGTGCAGAATAGAAGACAATGCACTTTCAGAACACTGTGTGATTGAATAATTCTGTGCACTTCTCAGTTTCAGACTTTTTTTTTTTTTTTGTAATAGGTACAGCTGCTGAGAATTATTTTTTGTTTCTTAACCGGTTTGGCTAGTGTCATTGTTATGTGTGCAAAGTAGGGGTGGGTATTGGCAAAGAAGTCACGATTCGATTCGAATCACGATTCACATGCCACGATGCGATTCTATCACGATGCATCACGATACTTGAAATATTGCGATGCATTGGGATATTTTCACTGAACACTGTAAGAAAAAGATACAGCCCTTACCAGTGGCTGACTGGCTGGGTGTGATCTGGATAGTGTCTTCAATTGATACATAACTGAAAGCAACTGAATTCATACATAGCTGTATTTATTGAAATTACTTTTGGAGGTGTTGCCATGAAAACAAATACTGGACAGAAATATTACTATTACTGGCATGGACACACCAACAAAAAGATCTTAGGATTCATCAAACTTAAAATAACAAAATGAGGATAATCAGTCCGGACATGCTTATGACACAAAGCAGCAGGCGTCAACACATCCGCAGCGACATCTGCTGGACTGGAAGTTGTATTCCACTTGGTTTGATTGATGTGCGCCAACCATTAATGTATTTTATTTGTTCATTTTTTTTTTTTAATAATCGATTCTTGCCTTCAAGAATCGATTCAGTAGATCACAAAAATTAGAATCACGATGCATCGATTTGACGATTATTTTGCACACCCTTAGTGCAAAGTATAGCAAAGGAAGGAACACTTAATTTTAATTTTATAAGTTTTTTATCAAGCTTGCTTAATATTGTGCACAGCATACAACCTTTATTGTATTTATTGTATTTTATTTATTAATGAAAATATTTCTGTAGAATTTTGGAGTCTTTGTTTTTATCCTTGTGGTATCGAAATTGGTATCAAGTATCTGTATCGAGTTGAAAAGTTTAGTATCGTGACAACCTTAGTGTGTATATACATATCTTGTATTGACGACACATTTTTCAGGGAATTTTTTTATTTTGTCATCTTTTCTAATTTTACAAAGTTTATTAGCCTAGATAAAAGGGATTGATAAATACAAATCTTAACACATTTTGAATCATGTTTATTTTGCTCTTTTATGCACTTTTAAACTGCAAAATTATTGGAGCTATTTTCTTTCCTACTTTTATTTTTTTTATATAAATTAAGATTTTTTTAACTTTATTTTGCTGCTAATTGATAATGAACTTCCCTCAAGGAGAATAACCCTGTTTGATTCAATTTTAGTGGAATGTGAAATGCATGTGCCATGTATAAACATGTACTGAGGAAGTGTGCTTCAGCAGCAGTTTGTGAAAGAGGATTCTCCTAAGAGAAGAGGATGAAACTGGACAATAAAGTGTCCCTTCCTTTGTACACAATGGGAAATCTATGTAAACGGGCATGGTTTGATGCCAGAGGGCTAACACACTTTATTTTCAGTCACCTGCTTGGCAGTGTGCAGCAACCTGTAGGGCCGTGATGCATTGCACTAAAGTCCATAGAGATTTCTCCAAGCATTTTATCTGGGATGCTGCTAAAAATACCTTAAACTTAATAACATTGTGTTGGAAGATATTATCTGTTTTGATTTAGGGCTGTACTATTTTGCCAAAATTAAAATAGCTGATTTATTCTATTTATTCCACCCCCACTGACATTATGCTTTTTTTTTTTTTATTGTGTGTGATTTAATTCTGTAAACATGTAAATTACCTCTAAGTTAAATTGGACAAATAATTTTGTTAATACAAGAAAGTTTATTTTTTTATACTTTAGTGAAACAAATGCTTACTTTCAATCATATGTGTGGATCGTCATGCTAGCTGCTATATTTATATGCTGCTATACATATATATATATATATATATATATATATATGATAAAGTCCATTTCATACCCTTGTTAAATGCAGTGCGACCAAAATTGAATGCTTCTCATTATTTGTAGTGTTCAAATTTGCATTGGAAGTCCTTTTTTTTAACCTTGTAATTATATTGCAAATAAAATAATTTACCCAGCTCTATTTTGATGGAGGCAACTAGGCCTTGATTTTATCTAGAAAGGGTGGTTTTTCTTTAAGAAAAGGTCATTTCTAGATTTTGTAAAATGTATTACAGAAACTAAAAATATAATTACTACTCTATTTTAAAGTAAAAGTGTAAATCAAGTTCTGAAGTAGTTCAATATTGGCTTCCGAACTCAGTCAAACTGACAAGTGGTCATATCTATAGAGTTATAACTTTAGAGGGCGATAAAAAAGCTGTTAAATGGCTCACATGTTGTTTATTTTTTTTATGTTTTTGTTGTAGTAATATCTTGCACTCTGTGCTGTGAACCACACAGTTTGAGATTAAACTTGGATTACCTGTCTGACTTCATGGTGTTATACAACATAATCTCTGCTGGATCCGATCCATCTGTTCATGCAGGCAGCTATTTCAGGAATTGAGGCGGGACAAATTTTCCCTCTCTAGATGACGCCATGTTTGTTTTTTGCTTTGTTTAAATTAAATCTGGACATGGGGTACATCTGTCCGGTTTATTGCCTATTATTTTTGGAGCTCTTTCTATCAATTTAAAAGCATATTGCTCCAAATTCTGAAAATTTTTTAACTTTCTAATTTCATATGTGAAGTTGAAACAACTTGCGGAATAGTAATGTTGCTTACCCAAATTTAAGCACCAGGCTTTTTTTTTTCAACTTGTTGGACATATTTAACTGTGTGAGTATAAAATACAAATATGTATTTATTATGACTTTTATGTCCTGATCTCAGATGAACAACACCGGGAACAAGAGAGCTCCAACGACAGCCACTCAGCGACTTAAGCAGGATTACCTCAGGATAAAGAAAGACCCAGTGCCTTACATCTGTGCAGAGCCTCTCCCCTCCAACATCTTAGAATGGTAAGGCTTCTGTTCACAGACCTCCACAGATCATGTAGAACCAATGTCTTCCCAAAAAAAACATTTTCCATTTTAATCAAATTAAACAAAAGATAATGATGGCTATACAGAGTTTAAATATTTAGTTGAACATATTTTATACATGATGCATATTAACTACAAAGATATATACAAATTATGGATGTTTTATGTCTTATCTGAGATACTTTTTTTTTTTTTTTTTTTAGCTTTTTCCTGTAAACTCTGCTGTTATTTTGTCATGAATAAGTATTTTAGAGGTGAAATGTTTCATAGTTGCTCCAAAAATCAGGATTATTATCTGGATGGGACAGGTGTTCAGACATAAAACCGTATTCATTTTAATGTGCACAGCTAACAAACCTCTAACAGAATCATATTTTCTCTCACTGCTTTAACGTTAGGAAAAACAGAAATGGCTTAAACTGGAAAAACACATAACTGGATTTTATCAGGTGGAATCCAGTAACTGGTCTAATGGTTCATGTTGGTTAATTATAAATGTTTTTTTTATTACATTTCCTCAGAAGAAACTCGTTGTTGTTCTAACTATATTAAGGGCTCTTGGTGTGTTTTCAGACTTTGGTCACAGTAACTTTTAATGATCCACCTTTGAATGAACCTAAGAATGTAATGTAAACAGCTGTTGGCACGAGATTGGTCCTTATACAAACTGGGGTGTAAAAGTATGTGTTTTTTATTATAAATGAAGGTTTATAGAGCTATCAGATGTCTGACAGACATCTAAGGAAGTGGTAAACAGATACTACGTTAATCATTCTGAGACCAAGTCAACATGGTGAGCTTAAATAAAATCTAGTTTCTCTATCAGGTCGGGTTCTCAGTCTGAGTCACTGAGGCTGTTTGCTAGTAGTTTTATTCCTGTTCAGCCAGAGCAGGGGTCTGCAACCCAAAATCTGCAAAGAGCCAAACTGGGCAAAAAAAAACAGGTCTGTCTGGTGCCGCAAACATTTAAAAGGCTTATATAAGCCTCCTGAGGGCTCTAACTCCCAGATTCCACATACTCCGTCAGCACTTCGCTCACATATGTCGTGTGGACTATTTCTCTGTCATGTTAATCAATGAGAGCTGTTCTACATCTGCTATTTTTTGCTCTGCTCTGGTCTGGCCAGGTCAAGATCTGCAATTGCATCAAACAGGAAAAAGAACATAGAGAAGATCCGGTTTGTCAAATTAAAATATAGTAACAACAGATCTGTAACTACAAATTAGAGCATAATTCTTATATATAAAAAAAAAAACTAACACAGTTTATTAAATAGATTGGATGCAAACTATTTGTTCTTCAACATACCAGAAAGCAGATTTCTCATCTCCATCAAAATATTTATTTTATACTGAGGGGCTTTAAAGTTTCATCAGATCCAGTCAAAAGAAACTTCTTATTGCAGGAATGGATGAAGAGATGTTGAGTTTGGGAGTAGAGAACAAACATAGTTCATAAAAAAGAAAAAAAAAAAAGCTGTTTTGTTAAAAGGCTGCATGCAACTCTGATCTAGATGGTAGAGTTGGTATGTTTGAGGTGATGAATTCCTGTTTTTACCCTCTGTGTCTGTTAATGCTATAGTGTGAAATATATCTGAATGTTTCATTTTTTTAAGATTCTCATTTTTCTATTTGATTATTTTTATGCCCATTTCTTTTTTTCTTTCTATTACGTAGCCAATTTTAAGGTTTTGCTTAAACACTGGTTTAGTCAGAATAATGAGTTAGCAATCTTTACACTTTAAACCGTTTTTGAATAAACCAAACTTGGATAATCCTTAATATACATTTTAATCAAGCTCTGCTTTTCTTTTTGGTCAGATTAAAGAACCACCCTTCTAATGCTTCTTTTAGATTTCGAACAGAAAACCAAAGATTTCATTACAAAGGAAGAAAGGCATTTTATATATTTATTTTGTTTACTTTAACACATAAAAATTTTTATAATTTCTAGCCAAAGTAGTTCGAGTCCCTATGGAGGTTCCAGAGGGCCACACTCAGCCCTGGAGCCACAGGCTGCATCCCCCTTTATCTAGTTAGACTCTGCGTAAATGACCGCCTGACTTTTTCACCCAGGAAGCAACAAAAAGGAGATGACTGCTGTTTTCTCTGTTAGTCAGAATGTTTTAATTTTGTTTGCTTTGGGGAAAAACGTCTTCCTGTTGGCATCCATAGTAAAGTAATTTGTTACGGCGAGCGACTGCTGAAAATAAGAGGTTTCAAAATCACTGTCTGAACTGTTATTTATTTTTTCTCTGACGAATCTTCAGAACCTTTTTGTTAACAGATTTATGATGAGAAGGAAGGATGTAACCTTCAGGAACAACATTGTTATTCACTAAGCTAATATGCACCAGTGCCATTATTTGCACCTTCCTGGTTCCTTGGTAGGATGCATCCTAACCTGACTGGTAAGGGTTAGGTAAAACAGGATTACAGCAACGTGGTGTTTTGATGAGTTTATGGTTGTTCGTGTTTGGATCTATACATATAAAATAAGAGATAATTGAATACAAAACTTTGAATTTCTGTGTTTTTTTTATTCTTTTTTTTGGGTGGGGGGGATACCATTTATGGGTATATCCTTTTAAAGCAAAATGTAGATCACTGAGATAATTGGGTATAAATGAGGGCTAGGTAATGTGTAAAGACTAGGGGTGGAACAGTTCACAAAATCCACGGTTCGGTTCACGGTTTCGTGGTCACGGTTTTCGGTTCAGTATATGTTTATTGTTACACTGAAAAAAAAAAAAAAATAATAATAATAATAAAAATTAAAAAATTTTTTCAAGGAAAAATTCCAAAAGAATTTATGTATTGCAATTATTTTTAATGATTCGCGGAAACCATGGATCATTTCCGCATGTTTTGCTGCTTTGAATTTAATCATCTCGCGCATGTCCTCTACGATCTACAAGGAACTCAGAGTGGAGCGGACGGCAGCCACAGTGGAGGCTGTAGGCTTTGCTTTGTGCAGGCGGTCTGGATCGAGTGGGGCGGAGCGGAGCGCTGATGGAGTATGTGGGATTTCGGGGTTAGCCTGACATGTTGGTCATGTTGCTGTTAGCATAAACAAAACGTGTTGCACAATGCTTGCACACTGTTGCACTTTTATCCACAACTTTCTTTCCGCCGTCATCGTAGGTCACTCTAAATGCAAAGTGGTCCCATACAGCAGACCTATAAAGTGCTGCAACATGACCAACATGTCATGCTAACCCCGAAATCCCTCATACTCCGTCAGCAACCCCCGCTGCGCTCCAGACCGGCTGCTCAAAGCAAAGCCTACAGCCCCCACTGTGGCTTCGTCCGCTCCGCTCTGAGTTCCTTGGAGATGGTAGAGGGCATGCGCCAGATGATTAAATTCAAAGCAGCAAAACATCCGGAAATGATCCAGGGTTTCCACGGATCATTTAAAATAATTACAATCCATTATTTTTTGGGGGATTTTTTTTCATTAATTCCATAAATTTTTATGGGATTTCGGTGTAACAATCAACATGTATCGAACCGAACCGAAAACCGTGACCAGAAACCGTGAATCGAACCGAACCGTGGATTTTGTGAATCGTTCCACCCATATATATATATATATATATATATATATATATATATATATATATATATATGGGTATTCCAGTAAGTTATTTATTTTAGCCTTCGTGACATTTATGTTTGTTGTCACTTTAAAATGATAAATATCATAGTTGTCATTCGTGTTAATACGATCACTTTTTTTTTTTCCCCCTGGTAACCCGCATTATTGTACACAGTAAAAATTAAATTGTTTAAAAAAAAAAAATAAAAAAAAAAGCAGAATTGGCTTTAATTTAATATTCGGTTTAACTGTGTGAGGCTTTACGTGGATTTATTGCTTTTTTTTTATGATGTATTGATATGTCCACAGCCTGTGTTCCATGGAATATTAAAGTTAAAGAAAAATGAACCGTAAATGCCAGGACGCAGCTGCTGACGTGTAATATATACACGTGTCAAGTTTTTACACGTATTTAGTGGTTTGAAATGGTGGATTTCTGCTGTTCCCTCTCTATAAACTTTGCTTCCATATAAAACCAGCTTTACAGTTCAGTTAAATCGCATCACGTGTTGCACTTAGAGAATTCATTTGCTGTTATTGAGAAACTTAATGTTGTTAATGTTGTAGTTTATTAAACAGGATGATTTTTAGGATTTGTATTAAAGTAAATAAATTAAGCATTTATATCTGTTCAGTTATATTATTGTGGCTTACAGCTAAATTCATATGAAAGATTCTGTTTATCTGCAGATCTGATTATTATAAAATACCTACATTTGCCGAATTTTAGATGTTAAAGTCGTGAATCTAGCCTGAGACAGAGGACTGGGACCTGCAGCTTTAGCTCTGCGATCCCACCAATAGACACACTGGAAAAAAATCAAAATCTAGATAAGTCATTTTTTCTTAATAAGTGCGGAGGTAAAAGATACATTTTGCCAATGAAACAAGACAGTTTATACTTAAAATAAGAAAACACAATTGCATTTTCTTATTTCGTGTGCATATTATCTTATTTTAAGAGTAAAAACACTAATTCCATTGGCAAAGTATCTCATTTAGCTACTCAAATTAAGGCAAATGCATGTTATTTAAGAAATTTTTACTCATTTCTAGATAGTTTTTTCCAGCGCAAAAGATTAGTAAAATGGGGATGTGTTTAACTATTAACATAGTAAAAAGTCATTACTAAAAGTCTTTCTTTGTTTATCTTTCATATTATATTTGCACAGAATGTATTCAGCTAATTATGAAATGTCTTTGCACCATTAGGCAGCTTAATAAGCTTTCGCTTTCAATCATAAACGTGTAAATTTTATTTCTCGAAAATGTTTTAATTCTCTTCATGTAAATGTTAGAATAATTTTATTCTGTTATAAAACATGAGCTTAGATATAAAATGTTCGTTTTTTTTACCCTAAAACAAATGTTTCTGGTATATTTGTATCCCCAAAAGCTCATATGTCAGTTAGGATAGACTAAAGGGCAGACTGAGTGTTTGAACGTTTGCCTGGCTGACTGCTGACTTTGGTTGACAGACGCTACTAACAGCTTCCATGAGGATAAACCAGAACAGGTAGCATGCTTCAAAAAGCCAAGCAGGAAACTGAGTGGAAGGAAAAAAAAAATGTTGATAGAACTCCAATAAATTTGAAACACCATAGGATAATGTTGAAACCTATTGTAATTTATACTTCTAAATGTAAGACAAAGGTTTTAAAATTGGTTGTTTCATTCCACCCTACTGTTAGAATAAAAAAAACCTGAAATTTACATAATGCTTTGACTGCTAAAAGTCGGGATTTTAATAATTTTTTTTTTATCCTCTTTAGGCACTATGTAGTCCGAGGTCCTGAGAAAACCCCATATGAAGGTAATGCACGCTTTTGAAACTACAAATTAACAGCTTAACGTGTGATGTTTGGTTGCATCTGCCTGACTCACACCTAATTATTTGTTTTTCACAACTTGTGTTTAATGCTGATGACTCCGTGTTTTCAGGAGGATATTACCACGGAAAGCTCATATTTCCTCGGGAGTTTCCCTTTAAACCTCCTAGTATTTATATGATAACACCAAACGGAAGGTTCAAGTGTAACACAAGGTAGGGGGAGTATTCTTCTAAAAAGTAATAAAAATCTATTGAGTTGTTTGTTGAAGATGCTTTGGGTAATGTTTTCCTCTCCTTGTGCAGGTTATGTTTGTCCATCACAGACTTCCATCCAGATACGTGGAACCCAGCGTGGTCCGTCAGCACCATCCTTACAGGTCTGCTCAGCTTCATGGTGGAGAAAGGACCAACACTGGGCAGCATTGAGACGTCAGACTACACGGTGAGTGGAAAAAAAAATCAAATGCATTAAACAACGGTCTATGTGCTTCATGCAGCTTTTGAATTTTTTTTTTAATACTTTTCTATACTCTTTTCCAGAAAAGACAGCTGTCAGCCCAAAGCCTGGCGTTTAACCTCAAAGACAAAGTGTTCTGCGAGCTCTTCCCTGATGTAGTAGAAGTATGGATTAGACAGTTTTTTGTTGTTTTTTTTTTCTGCTTTGGAAGAAATTTTCTTTTTTTTTTTATTTATGAATATCTTATATTTCTCATGTAGGAAATGAAGCAGAAACAGAAGGTCCAAGAAGAGTTGAGCGCCCGCACACAGCCCCTCCCCTTACCGGATGTGGTGCCTGATGGAGACCCTCAACAAGCCCATTACGGCCTCCCAGTCCTCAATGGAGGACCGGTCCCTGCAGGGGGCGCCAACCCGGCCCCAGGCCTGCAGCAGGGCAATCGCAACCATGGACTTCTGGGAGGAGCTTTGGCCAACCTGTTTGTGATCGTAGGCTTTGCTGCGTTCGCCTACACAGTGAAGTACGTTCTGAGGAGCATAGCTCAGGAGTGAGAGGAGGCGCTCTGCTTCCTCCGAAAGACTCAGACTTTACACCGTGGACACCTGGAGGAGGGACGCTCAGTCCGCGGTTAGATCCCTCCACAGCTACTTCTGCCACCGTGGACCTCAGCAGAAAGAAACTCGAAGCTCCCGTCCTGCGGCTGGACTGAGAGCAGGAGTTTGGGAGCGGTTTTTATATAAAAAAAAAAAAAAAAGGTTCTGATCCACTTTGTGTTTCAGTGGTTTATAAACCTCCTGGGAACAACCTTGGCTCATGGGTTATAAAGAAGTGCAGACAAAGATCTTTTTTGCCCACTAGCTTTTAAATAAGAAAACTGAGCTCCTGTCCTAATGAATTGATAGAAGAAGTCTGTTATTGAAATCCTATATAAAACCTGTAATTCATCTTTAATTCCCATACCCGTCCTCCATGTTCCACAGAAAATGAGTTGGCTCTGTCTTACATGTAATTCCAGCTCAGTGCCCCACAGGGTATCATTTAAAGTTGGCTCTGAACTGCTTTCTCATACCTCAATCAGGTTTTCTTTGCTTTCCTTGCCAAGATTCATTTCATGTCATCGCATCCAACCTGCCAGCTCGCCTCTTTAGGAGGAGGAGCTAAAAATGACTTTGGCCTACTTTTCCAACAGCTTATGTAATTCAGAAAAATTGCAAATATTTTGATTATTACATCCTTATATTTGCTTTTTGTCATCCAAATTAGTGAAATATTAGCGACTTCCAAATATTCAAAAAGATAAATTAGAAGTTACACAGTAATGAGTCTTTCCAGAGAAATTCATTCAAAGCATCACAAATATTGAAACAAACTGGGTTAAGATAGAACCTGTTACATCACATCTGCTTTGTCTAATTCATGATTTATTTCTTAGAAGTGGGACACTTATCATTGGCCTCAGCTAATGTGTAAATAAATCTGCATTGTTCTATTTACTGAACAAACCACTAAGTGCATTGGGTCTGATGAAAGATCATTTAAATTCCAGTTATGAGTCCTGCTTTCAGCCCATGAGCCAAGTCAAATGTGCACATTGGAAACTTTTTATAAATCCATCTAGGTCCAAATAAGGAACCAATATTTTTATTTCTGTTAATCAAAACTTTTTTTTGGACTATATCTCCTTTTTTTTGTCTTATTTATAGAACTGCCAGCTGATTGCATTTGCAAAACACTCAGTACAAACATGCAAAGGCCCTGGCTTTCATTATTAGCTGATGATTAACTCTTGAATTTCAAATAAACGGTTCTACTCTGTATTTGATGTTTCAGCAGAAATCTGATGATTCTCTTCTTTTTCCTCCACAAAGAAAGAAAAGTCAAACTGATAGTGGGAGTGCTTCAGTTAACCTGTGACCTTGTATGGTTTCATAGTAAATTCATACCCTGCTCTGAGAGGCGGTCAATAAATCTCCCTTCCAATCTGCTTCTGTCACAGATTGTCTATCAGCGTTTAGCAAATAGCTGTAGCCCAAAACAATAAAGGCTGCTGCTTTCATTTTTTTTTCTATAAATAAAAATGGTTCATAACCCCATAAAGGCGTGTCCCCAAGCTTCCTTTGTTGTGATTTAAAGCATTTTGTTCCACAGAAGTTTGCTTTGTTTCGATGCAGGTCTTCCCTGGAATCGTAGTATACCTCACTGAATACCTTTTATTCTTTTCACTTTTAGCCTCATTACAACAATAATCTGAAAAATTTACCCTAACAGGCAACGATTGTCCATAAAGCAGAAACGCCAACTACTTTTAAGGCTAGGTTTAAAACTTTCCTTTTTGATAAAGCTTATAGTTAAAACCTGATGTTTTCTTTATTGCTGGATGAGTAGAGAGTTGGAGCGTTAACAGATTGAATGCTGATGAAGATTCTCTGTCATCCAGGTCATAGTCATTCCGTAAAAGTTCAAAAAAGTGGATATTTTTTTTTTTACTTTTACGGAATAACAGCCTGAACCAGTGGGGGAGAAATTTAAGCTGGACAGATGTTTCTCCTTCCCTCTACCTTTCTTATACCTCATCCAAAATAGCACATCCTGAGCTATTTTCTGTGTTTGTGCTGCTGGAGGACATGGGGACCACTTCTCTTCAATCTGCTTCATTCTGTCTCTTTTCTCCCATTCTGTAATATCTGTAAACTTCCACCAATAACTGCTTTTTTCATTGTAGCTTCATCTGATCTGTTCCTCTTCACTGTGACTCCATCTTTGATTAAAATATCAGCTGTGCTGCTGCTATCGACATCTATGTTTATAGATATTGAAGCTTGGCCTGTTTTTAGTGTAGTTCTGTTTCTATTACAGTGACCAACAGGCTATGTCTTTTCTGGATGGGGCCACCTGTGGAACTATTTAAGTTACCATTTTTATGTCCGCTTTCTTGAACACCAGTCAGCCTCGGAAGAAGGCCGCTCGCACTGAGTCCGGTTCTCCTGGAGGTTTCTTCCTGTTAAAGAGAAGAAGCTGCAGTGCTCTGTGTGAGGGATTGCTGCAAGATTATCCAGCAGGATAATGTCTTGCAAGTTGATGCAATAAACTGGTTTTTATGACCAATCTGACAATATTGTTTCTGTAACGTGCCTTGAGATGACATGTTGTGAATTGGTGCTATATAAATAAACAGAATTGCACAATTGGGAAACGAGGAACAAAAATAGGTTCAACACAGGAATTAAGAGGAGAGCTGAATGTAAACCACACCCTCTCTTGTTAAAAGCCATGAGCCATTTAGATGTGACATATTTTTTTTTACAGCAAACTTCCTTAAAAGCTCTGTCGGCTTTCCTTGGTATATTTTACCAATGGAATTTCACTGAAGAGCTCCATTTTTAAAGAAAGGTCTCCGTGCCATCACCCTAATCTTTAGCTTCTTTCAGTCAACAAAAAACAGAGAAAATACAGAAATACTTCAGGCAAAGCAAGTTTATTTGTATCAAATGTCATTGCTCAACAGGTAAAGAACACTAAAGGAAAAATTTAAAAAAGGACATTGATGTACCATGATAACGGGAGTAAAAAAATACAAAAAACATTTTAGAATTAAGAACCAAAAAAACTTAGTGTGACATTAGAGACAAAAGTTCAATAAAGAGAAACAAGTTTGTTGTAATCTTTATTTCAGTTAAAAATGATGAAATCTTTGTCAGTATTTACATCTCAGGTTCTCGGGCATTGAAACGAGAGACAGTCTAAACTTTTGTTCTTTAATTTGTGAAATACAGGAAACCAACCTTTGGAGTTTTCCTGCTCAGTGTTGTTCTGTTTACTGTTTGGAGAGCAGAATATTTATTTATGTGCTGCAGAGTCTGCAAAAGGTCAGTGGATAGAAACACAAAATATAACAGTGCTCCTGAACAAAACACGGCCGCTCCCTGGGTTCCTGTAGCGTGTGCAGCCCAGTAATCCCTGAAAAGGGAGGCTTGAACCTCACGAAAGGACAAAAAAATAAATTATATAAAATAAAATATATAAACCTAAAATTAAACATTTTTCAGTTTGTTGCCTTAAAATGTGCAATTCTGAAAGCAGTTTTTTTTTTTCAGAGTGTACAAGCTATAACTAACGATGTTGACAGGATGAAAAGAAAATGGCAACTTTAAACAAAGGGGTAATCTTGAAGTAAAATAACTTAGGGTTTCAGCACACACACACACACATATATATATATATATATATATATTTTTTTTTTTTTTTTTTTTAGGATTTTGCTGTAGATACCCGCAGCATAAAATCTTAATGTTGCTTCTATATTTCTAGATTTTTGCTCTGGCAATGCTGAAGATCTGGATGGTCTGGACGGTTGATTCACTTTGAACTTTAATCTGCATTTAGTTCTGGTTCTAATCTCGGTTCTAGCGTTTCCATTGTCCCTCAGAATGTTCTGCTGTCCGTGACGAAGCTTAAAACACATCATGTAATGCTTAAAAGTAATATTTCACTAAATGCTTTGGTTGGAGAAACTGTGCTTTAAAATTTCTCGATATTTATTTATTCATTAATCCAAACTTAGTCCACAGAAAAATCTTTTTAAGAGAAGGTATCATATCTTACAATAAAACAAATACAGAAATAGAGATTCTCAGTTCTCCTGAAAAAAAAAAAAATCTCATTACTGAGAAATGTTGTGTTAAAGTTCAGCATTTAATGCAGATCTTTAGGAATCTATAGCTTTCTGTATATAAAGAATAGATTTATGTGGTTAAACACAATTAATCCTTTAACACACAGTGTATCATATTTGATTGTTTTTTTGAGACTTCCACATCATCAGTTTGGTATTTTTATTTTAGAAGAATCTAAAAAAATGCATGGAAATACCTAAGGCATCACAAATAATAGAAATTATGTATCTAATTCAGCGTATTCAAAATTGTTTGCCACATTGCCAGACAGGACACGTTCATCTTTTCTCTTTTTTTTTCTTTTTTCCTTTTTCTTCTTCTGTTTTTCTGCTCTATTTACATTGCAGTGTCCATATAAACTGTAAAGCTCCGCATGAAACAAGTGGAGGAATATGGCAATTGCCATACTGCCACACTTGTAAAAGTAAAATCTGTTGGGCTCTTTTTGGCATCGAGACAATTATTCTTATTGCCACATTGCCAGACAGGACACTGTAAAAAAAAAATTCTTCATTTTAAAAATTTGTTGTTTCTTTTCTCTGTCGCCATATACTTGCTGAGCAGGCTGGTTTGGGTCAGTGTGCATTCAATTGTTTGCTTTTTTCCTTTTAACCAAAATGAGAAATCTATAAAGATTTGTTATATGATTCCTGCTTTATTTCCCTAAACAACCATGGAATTAACGGATAATGAAAGTGATTGCTTGTCTTTTTGTTTAGTGCAAAAACTGAGGACTTGGATAACTGTTTGTTATCCGTTTTCTCACTTTGGTTCAATAAACGAAGAAATGAAAATACTTGTTTGTTTTTTTTTTGTTTTTTTTTTGTTTTTTTGTTTTTTAAAGGAAAAAACAAACCTTCCTAAATTTATGCACTGATCAGGTTGCCACAAAGTGTTTATAGTGGCTGTGCTTTGTTTATAAATGCATTATAAACTGAATTTGACTGTCATAATGAAATTATAGCACTGGACCGATTTTTCTTAATATGATTTGAATAATAGTATTCTTCTAAAGTGTCTGAAAATGACATTTAGTGTGAATGATTCATTTGTATGTATAAAAAC